TAAAGCAAAATACTAATAGGAACTGATAAAGAAAGAAACATTTTCATAATTTTAACATTAATACTTCTAATTAATTGATCAGCTTATTTTAAAAAATAAACAACCGGAAACTCGAAAATATTTTCATAATTATTCATAAACAGGCCTCGGCCGAGAAAATTATAATTTAATGCACAAAAATTTTGTTTAAAAAATATTTTTTAAAAAAAGTGCTCTCCAAGTCACTGCTATAAATTACTTTAAATTCGCAAAACTTTTAAGATATAATTTGTCAATGAAAGTTGTCCAAGATTAGCTAAAAAATTATCTATCATAAACAAATACAAATCAGGATTTATATTTTGGGACAAGAAAAAATCTTTTTTTATTTTTAAAATTTTATCATGTTATTTTATCGCCCAGCATTGAATAATTAATTTTTTTTTAAGATTATTTTATCCACTTTTTTATTCAAGGGTATTCCGAGAATATATGACGGCACCTGGCTTATTATTTGTTTTAATCTTAAAGCTATAAAATTAATGATATTGATGATTACAATAGATTTAATAAGATGGAGGTCTAATCAATGCAATGTTCCCCTTCAACTTATCTTATTTAAAAATTTCTATGCCTCAAGATATGGCTGGGGGTAAGGAGAGGTGGTTGTATCTATATGAATCATTTATTTTTTTAAAAATATTTTTGAATTATATTTATAGATTAAAATAAATCTTTTTACTATAATAAAAAGAAAAAATTATCAACATGTTTTTTTCGGGCTGGATAGGGTTAATATAATAATATAAATAACTAGGGGCTATTAGAATCAAGGCTACAAATAAATTATGCTTAAAAATATGATATAATAAATACTCAAGTGACATCGATATGATGGAAGTTGGATTAGATTTAATTTCGTCCCAATTACAGTCTACCCAATATTCAGAACCTTCTTCTAACCATTCTTCTACCTCGTTAGTTATGAAGAGGAGTTGTGTTGTTACTCCCACCAAGATGCATAAACAATGTATACATTGTTCCAAAAAATACAGTAGTACAACTTCCTCAAGTAATATTTTATTCCTATAAATAAGGGCCATTTCAAGTCAAATCGATCAGATTCAATTCATGCTAAAAATAAATCTTCGATAAATTTTAAATATTAATTTAAATAATATTTACTTCAAATGTAATATATTTATTAATTACTTATATGAAAATAGATTAATTAATGATCTCGATCTATAAATAGAATTTATTAGTTATTTATATTTATAAAATTTGAAAAATTCGAAAAAAATAAAATTCATAAATATTTCTTAAATAAAAAGTTTTTAGTGGCTTAATTCACCCCCCCCCCCCATTAATTTTCAAATAATTATAATAAAGTCATTAATCAAAAATTTTTTTAAAATTTTTATATAAATACATAACTAAAAAATATTAATTAAAATCTCCCCCCCCCCCCCAAACTGAACCCAAAAATGAAAATCGTTTGTTTTTATATAAAAATTATATAGATGACGAAAACTTTTATTGTAAGAAAAAAAAATTACTTGTCTTATATCTTAAAAATGGAATATTTTAAAAATTAAGTAAATAAAAAAGCAGACGATAAATATAATTTTTGAAAGACGTCCTTTTTTTTAGAACTTTGTTAAAATTTTTAAATCAACGAATATTAATAAAAAGAGGTATTGTTATACTTTTGTTTTGAAACATAACTAGGTACAGTTACTAGTTACTTTGATAAAAATATAACTAGTAGCAGTTACTAGTTACATTTATAAAAATATAACTAGTTATAGTGATATTATGTTACTTTCTGGATCTTATAAATTTTAAGATGGTCTATTAATTCTATTTTTGGCCTGAGCCCATTGCAATTTATTAAAACGCGATCTTAGTTACTATTTGCTGGCACTACTAACAACCTTCTTTAATCTTTACCTTTAAGTCTTAAAATATTTTAATTTATTTTAAATAAGCTGTTTCAACCAAGCAAATTAACAACAGTAAATATATGATTATTTTTCTGTTAATATTTCGTTCTCTATGCATTAAAATATGATTGGGCAAAATATTCACTCACAATAATATAATATTGTTTGAAGTATGTGCTCTGGTCCATGCTCGGATCAATGAAAGGAACCATTTTTAAAAAGGGAATAAAATATTAAATAATAAATGAATATTTATATGTTAATATTGAATTCGTCTTCTATGCACAAAAATATAATTGAGCAAAATATTAACATTCAGTTCACTAATATAACTCTGGTTGGTGCTCGGGAAACATCGGTACATCCCTAAAAAAAGAATAATTGTTTTATATAAAAAAAATGTCGTGGTTTTAAGTGATTAATTAGTCTATATTTTGTTTATTTGTAATTTAATGACCTCCATCTATAAATAAAAATGAATATCAAAACTCAAAAGATATCGTTTAACTGAACTACTTAGCCAACTCATCTAATCGGTTTAAGTCTTAGCCAATTTTTATAATTTTAGAGATCCCAAATATTATTAAAAAAGGTATAATACCCTCATTTAATGATATGAATTATAAATATCTAAAAATCGATAAATTCCTATAATTTTTCCCGGTCTTAGAAGATAATTATTTCTAATTCTATATCAATAATTAATAAGGAATTGAATTACTTGGTCTCTAATTTTTAATTTATAGATTATAAGAAGAGAATATTTTTTTAAAAAAAGGTATATAATATTAAATAAATATGATTATTTTTCATGTTAATATCGAAATATTCGTCCTCTATATATAAAAATATGATTGCGCAAAATATTTACAATAAACTAATAGAAGGTTTGTTTGGAGTAAGTGATCCGGTCCATGCTCGGGTCGATGAAATGAAGAATTTTTGAAAAAGGAATATAAATCTAATATTAAATAAGAATATTTCTATGCTAATATTGAAATATTCGTCCCCTATGTAAAATACAATTCAGCAAAATATTCACATTCAGTCACAATAAAATAATATAATAAAAGTTGGTGCTCGTGTCTATTATCTAGTCGGTACTCTCAAAAAACTTTAAAATTAACGATTATGATAATTGTCACTTATCCAGGATACATATTGACTGAAGTTTTATTTAAATTTGTTTTATATTAATTATTTTCAATTTGAGACTGACTGAAGTTTTATTTAAATTTGTTTTCAATATTAATTATTTCCAATTTGCGTCAAAAAAAATTCAAAAAACTTTTACAAAAACGATTATGACAATTGTCACTTATCTAGGGTACATCTTCCCTGAAATTTTATTTTAAATTATTTATAAATTACAACTTCTTTATACTTAAAAAATAATTTCAGAAAAATGATTAAAAAAAACTATAAAATATTTCATTCATCTAAAAGATTGTTTATTTATAATAAAATTCACAAAAAAATTTCTCAAAAAAAATTTACTTACAAAATTTAAAATTCTTATCAAATTATCAATTGCTTAAAATTTTGGGCGTGAAAATCACAAATTTATTGATAAAATGATATTATAATTACATTTTTTTATTAAAAAACATCAAACCATTTTCAATATAATAAAAAATAATTAAAATTTCATTTCAATATTAAATGAATAAAAATATTAAATAATATCATGTTTTTATTTATATAAAATAAATCGGGTCGATGCTGTGTTAGGGTTGGTGCTCGGGTCGATGCTCGGGTCGATGAATTTGGTCCACCAGGTCGACCAATTTGGTTGTTTTATTTTTGGTTCATTTTTTCGACCAAAAACCCAACCAAATTCATGCTAATTCGACCTAACAAAGCAATTTTATCACACTAGTTGCAGATCGCATATTTAGAAAAATTTCTGGCGGAAAGATTGTAATCGGTTATTTTATCAGCTTCAGAAGTCGAATTAATGATCAAAATAATTTTAATTATACTAAAGATTTTAAGGAATATGTAATAAAAAATAAAAATTTAATTAATATCAAAATCTTCTGAAAAATATGTACTGATTTTTTAGATATTATTTATTAATTTTATATTAAAAAATAATATACGATCTTCCTTTATTTTACTGTTACGATTAGATATCATTTAATAAAGAAATAATCACCGGGAGAAAAATTAATTTTGTTATAAAAATTTTTTTTTCAAATTAAATTTCTCCTGCTTTTTTTTGAATGAATCTGGTAACCCTGATTATAAACCTTACAATTTGTATCAAATTTCATAAAGTTTAATACAATCTTTAAATATATTTCAACAAAGTTTTAATTGCATATACTAACTTTTGTGGCATATTTTTTTTATCCTTCTATTCTTTAATTAATTATATATTTTAATTTATTTTATCTCAATTTGCTGAAGGTGTATATTCACTTTCGTCAATCTTTTTTTAAAAAATTATTCTTTACATTTCACGCATTATAATAAATATCAGCTTCATTTAAACGATCCCTGTTTAACCCCCCCTCCCCCTTAATGTTCGATTTTGAGATAACCACTAATCCGGGCCCGAAAATATATTCAGTATAATTATCAAATAATAGTAATATTTAGCAGCTTTTTTTAAAATGATTACATAAATAGGTTTATTAGAAAATGTATAATAGATTTTGTTAAAAGGTAAATTTTTATTTTAATGAAATTTAAAAATGTTTTTTTAAAAATGTATATATATTTTTGGTACCTTTCGGCTTAAAATATTTTAAAATGTTTCATTTATTCTTTTTTTAAACTAATGTTTCCATAAAAATTATTTTAGAAGCTTAACTTTGTTATTATGTCTGCCATTCCATCAAGTTAACAAGGATTATTTTGAAACATTGAAAGATAGTGTAAATTAATTATTTTATTTTTCAACCAATTTTTAAAAAATTAATATGAAATGTTTTATTTATAAAAATGACGAAATTTTTGACCCTTTTTAAAAAACGTTTTTACATTGTAAATTTTTTTCTATCGAACAATGATTTAAGGTGTTGATTTCTTTTTATTATCATTTTTTCAAACTTAATTAAATTTTTTTAGCGGACAAGGTAACGCTAAATCATCCTTATCATCCCAATTTTGGCACTTTATAAATTTCCCGAATATTTCAAATGAAGTCTAAGGCCAACAAGGATAAGAAGAATTACAGAATAAACCCCCCTGATTCCGAAGAAGAATTTAAAACTATCGATAGAGGCCATGAGGTGAGTGTCGAAGATGATACTGATGAAGAGTTTAATAATAAACCGCCGAAAGCGACATCAAAATCCGTCAAAAAGGGAGCTTCTAAAAAGGTTACAAGCGATTCCGCCTCAGTTTCTAATGTATATTTCTTAAAAAATTAATAATATTTTTTTTATAAAATAAAAATTTATGTTTATCACTCATAAAATATTTTTTAGTTTAACTGCTAATATATTAGATGAAAGGGGTTTTTTTAATCCTACTACTTTCTGGTTATATTGCTTTTAAGAAAAATATTGATAGATTAGTCTTTTTTTTCAAATTAAAATCATTTTTTATGCAATTTTTTATTAGGATAAAGAAAAAATTTATAAGAAAAAGAAAGTTTCTAATAAAGATAAGAATACTGATATGCCAAAAAGGCCATTGACGTCATATTTTATTTGGTTACAAGAAAACAGGGAAAGATTGAAACAGGAAAACCCTGGAGCGTCAATCACTGAAATTTCAAAATTTGGAGGGGAAGGATGGAGAAATACTAAAGATAGATCGGTAAATTTTAAATTTAAATAATTATTTATATTTGTAAACATGTTATTTACGTTTGTATCATTTTTACCTCAACTCATTTCAATCTTGTAAAGCAAATTATCAGAAATCAAATGAAATCTAATTTTTTTCTCAATAAGATTCCATTTTGTTTCTCTAAGTGATTTTGATGCAGTCGACCACTTTTTTAATGGCCGGAGCGGTCTGAACCAGTTTGCTCTTCACTATTAACAGATTTGAAATTATACACTTTAAGTTTGAATTGATATATTTGAATTCACTTGTTTTTTAACTATTAATCTTCAAAATTGTTTTTTCACTTAGAAATGGGAACAATTATCATCACTAGCAAAAGATGAATATAATATAATTATGAGAAATTATGAATCGAAAAACCCTAACATTATTATGTGAGTCAAATATATATTTTTAAAAATTATATAATTATTTGCTTAAATTTCAGAACAAAAAGTAATAAAGAATCGAAATCTAAACTGAAAAGTGGCAATAATGAGGTTAAAATTAGCGATGAATCCTCATTAGATGACTGAAGTTTTATTTCAATTAAAATTTATTATAATTATTTTTTATAGTCCCATGTTTGATATAGTATTCGCAATAGCTATTATTTAAAATTAAATATATCATAAATAGAATTCAAATATACATAAAATTAATCAATTTCCCCAATAACCTTCATCTTTTGTAAGTCATTTTGGGAAAAAAACTCTGTGTAGCAGGATTTTCATTCAAAAAAATTCTCTGAAGGGTTTGAAAAATTTGGTATAAAATGATCCATAAATTCTAAAGCCATGCTGCAATAATGTCATAGGGTTATACTTAGTGATGTTAAACAGCTAATCCAATATTTTAGCCAAAAAATGATATGTAAATCTCGGGATTTCGTTAATAAATGTTCAAACCTTTCTTCCATCTATGAGCAAAATCTCCAGGCTTGTGTAATATTTATGGCTAAAATGTTGGGTTAACCTTTTTATAAATCGCGCCTATCCAGACGTGTAGTCACGAATTTCCTACAGGGGAGAGGGGTTAATTTTTATATTGAAATGATTTTTTTGGAACATTAAAAATAAGTCAATTTCGAACACAAATAATAAAATATTGGAAAATATTTTAAGAGTAAATATAAAATTGTTAAAAAATATTGTAACCAGTATGTAAATTACAAAAAAATATAGAATTAAACATTACATGTTAATTTTTTTTTAAAAAGTAATCAAAATATAGTTAATAAATGAAAATTTAATCTTTGCGCTCCATTTGTACGGCTGGATTCTTTTAAAAAAAAATTTCGGCCTGACCCAGATTATTTTTAGAATTTTTTTCGGCCCAGTGAATCTTCTCGATGAGCTAAGCATAATTCTATATTTATATTTTTAAATTAGAACTTTTTTAATAAGGGTCGTGTGGGGATGCATAGTTTGGTCAAAAAATAATGTTTTTTCAAAAGCCCACTAAGTTATAAAAATTTTTAAATTTAATATTAACATTTTCTGAATCCTTATGAGCTAAATATGATTCTTTCATTTTTTAAAAATAGCGCATAGCGGGTAGGAAGGCATATTTTAGTTATGTTAAAAAAGTTTTTATTTTTAAATTTCATTGTTATACCAGTTTTTTTTAAATTAAAAAATCATTTTCTAAATCATCTCTAATGGTTAAACACATTCTATATTGATGATTTAATTAACGTTTTTTGATAGGGGGCGAATATTTTAGTCTTGCCCCCTAAAAATGCAAATAATTTGAATAAAATATAATTTCTTATGATTTAATTCGTTTTTGAATAGACTAGGTGCAGGTATTTGGTAAATATTATTTTTTTCACCCCCACTTTTTTCATAAGCCCAGTCTTTCATGACTCATCTATTTCATCATAGTTTCAAAAAACTACTTTTAGTACTCAGAGCTAGCCTCCCCCCCCTCCAGGTAAAGGATAAACCTATTCAACCTAGACTGGGCCTAAACGTCTCTAAAATTATGTCAAATTTTTAGGACAATGGATTTGGATTTTGCAATTTATTCATATTCTTTAGTTTATTATCAAAATATATAAGGCCAGCTGTCCAGGGCAGTGTAGATGAGTTATAACCATAGCCTACCCTGGTCTTAAAAGTAGTGTTTTACATATTAGAATAGAAATAAATGCAAATAAAACCCAGATTGGTGAAGGGAGGTCTGATAAATAATGCTTATCAAGTATTAAGGCACCTGACAATAAATATTTTTATACCATATCCATATCAGGCATGAAAAATTCTAGAGGACTCTAATAAAGCAACTTGGGGAAACCAAAAATTAAATTAATTATCCAGTTTGAATTCTTAATAATGATAAAATAATAAATATTTATTTTGATAAATAAATTGTTTTTTAGGTTGTGTCATTATCAACATAAAATGGTGTTTTGCTGCTAGCTAGCATATATTACTAAAAACTCAAAGATTAATTTAACAATAGAATATAACCAAAATTATAAATTTTATTAGTGAATATATAGTTTTGAATTGTAAAAAAGTAATATCATATGCATATTGAATTTGTATCAATAATTATATTCTTAAATCTATTTCAACCATTTGATATAAATTTTTTGGTTCATCATTATTATTATTTTTATATATTTTTTTAATTAACAAATATACTTCAATAAAATCCACAAATATATAGAGAATATTTTTAATTACATAAGTAGTTACATTATGGTCAATTGTTTGCCATAAAAATATTCTTAAGACAAGATATGGTATATTTAGTAATAAAATATTACATAATTTATGAAGTAATTGAATAACTAAATTTAATTTGGGTTGTGAACCAAATTTATTTTTATGTAATATTAAATCAAGATATAATAAGCTAAAATAAGGAAATATAAAATTAATACAGCCTAATCCAATTAATGCATTTTCACAATTATATGGGCGAATTAATCTAGTATCTTGAGTAAATAATATTTCTAATATATCAATACTATCAAATATATTAAATGGCACAGATTGTATTATAGATTTTATTTTAGAATTATGTTCTCTATTTTTTGGATTTAAATCTTTTAATACTAATAATATAAATACAAGTGATGATAATGCCACAGTTAGCTTTAATAAAGTGGATCCATATATTTGAGATTCATCCAATAGAGGAGATATTTTTTTAAATATAAAACTTATGCGTATAATTAAAAATAATGAATAGAAAAGCCAGAAGTTTAAATCCCAAGAAAGAAATAGATTTAAATTATTTTTATTTAACTTTACAAATAAATTATGTAGTTTTTTTCTTAACAGATACCAAATTATTATAATTACAATAAATAAGATATCCAGGAATGAAAATGAATAAAAGATTTGTGCATCATATTTGTATATATAAAAATTTAGAAAAGATCCTTGAATAACAGCAGTAATTGATGCTCCAAGTATTGATAAAGTATTTTTCCAGCTATTCATTAATAGAATTTCAAAACAAAGCGCTTAGAATAAATCAACCAATAGTAAAAAAGGATTATATCGATTACTAAAATCATAAGATTTTAACTGAAAGTGAGACTTAATTCTAACAGATTGACACGCCATTAGAAAATTTAAATTATCTGCCAAGCTACATAATAATAATAGAATATTAAATTATAAAAAAATATATTTATTTCAAATTAATTTCATAAACCCTAAGACATTAAGCTATTTACATTTAGAACGATTTAAGGATACTTGTAATCAGTATTTTTTCTGATTTAATAACCCTTATCTTTATTACATATCTCTAAGCTAGCCCCTAATATTGCGCCTACAAACTTAAGATCAGTACTTATCCTGAGTTATACCAAATTTATCTTATCTAGTGAAAACTTTTGGCAGATACATAATTTGATGATTACCAGGGGTCAGTATTTAAAAATTAGTTGAATTTTTAAAAGAACTTAGAGCCTATATTTGACAAATTGTCTATATTTTCAAATTATCGCTCTGAAAAAAAATCAACGTTACCACAACTAATTTATTCAAAATTCCATTAGTTTCATCACTGGACTAGTATTGATTGACAATCATTAAATATTAATAAATTTATGCTAAGTATAGGCGTAGGCAAGAGAAAATCCCCCCCCTTCAGAAAATTATCACTATCTGTGAATATCATTTTAAGCTAATAAAAAATATCCCCCTTAGTCCTCCCCCCACTCCCTGACCCCAAAAAATATATGCATATATCTTAAACAATAATTTGAAAGAAAGAATGTAAAAGTTGATATTTTTTTTATAAAACTATTCATCATAATTTATACATTTTTGGAAAAAAGCATTTATATATAAAAAAAGTGAACTAAAAATGCTTTTTAAGAAATGGAATATAATCCAAAGATAAGTCTTAAGACAAAAGTGAAATGTATTATAATTATTAATAATAGATCCATAAAATTACTAAATAATATAATATATCAAATATAATTTTTTATAAAGTGAGTAATTTTAATTTATTTATCTTAATAAAAGTAAAATATAATTATAAAACTATTGATAAAATTAAATCATAAATTAAATAAAAAAATTAAAGTACAATACAAACAGTGGAATATTATATGTCGTAGATTTACAGTATATCTAATTTTATCAATTATCATATGACAATCAAGTTATTTTTATCAATATAGCGAATTATATATTTTACAGAAAACTATAAATATTGATAAGGACATCAGAAAATATCTTTTAAAGTCATTATGGGATGAATAATATAAAAATTAATTTTTAATAGCATTTTAAATTTAAAATAATGGCGTTAAATAATTGAATGTAAATTGTTGTTATATTTATTGTCAAGAGCATTGATTAGTAAAATTTGTTAAAATATTAACTGTAATATATTCTCTAACTATCAAATATGTCTGTAAAAGTAAAATTTTACCTAGTATTTTGTAACTAATTCTATATAATAGAAGAATATAACTATATGTCTAATTACTTTTTATAAATAAATTCCTTATACTTGTTTGGAATAAATTAACCATGCTTTTGTATTAATGTATATACAAGTAATTTTTTATATTTTATATAAACTAATAAAAATATATTTTATATCCAGGCTAATTTTTTTAATTAAAATTAACCTCCTATCTTGTAAAAATATTTTATGACTATATATAGACTAAGGTAACCCGGCCGAAGGCCCGCCCAAAATGGGGTCTGAGGGCGAATCCCCCAGTAATTTTTTAATTCCCTCCCCCTTAGGAAAATCCTGGCTACGCCTATGGTGACAAGTATCTTTTAGATTCTACCAAATGTATTGGATTTCTAATAAAGAACAGAATTTTCCATAATCTAATATAAACCCTAATCCTTATCTTTGTAGAATATCAATAAGCTAAGCACTAACGACGTTCATGAGCTTGGTATTAGGACCTAAACTGAACAGCTTAGTTCGGGGAATCAAAAACATAGTTATTGGCAACTTCGCGCTGCTCAATAGCCCTATGTGTTTTTAAGATCATACTAAATGGTAGTATTGAATAAAATCAGTATTTCTAATGATT